TCCTTTTTTGTACAAGTAGAAATGTCCCTATTTTCTCTGATGCTTCTAGATAACCTTAAATAAACTTCCAGAAGTCACTTGGATAGTAAATAACACCTGTGTGTTGAATTTACGGGGAATGACAGTGAATTATTTCTCCAAGTCTTTCTTTGGATTCTCACTTGGATTTAGGTCTAAACTTTGACTCACTCTGACACATAAATCAGCTTTCATTGTAGCTCTAGTTGTATGTTCAGGGTTATTGTCCTTCTTAAAGGGGAACATGTGTCCTTTCCTTCCTTTAAGGAGCCTCATCTGTCTTTCCTTCAACTTTAACCAGCTGCCATGCTCCCAACAGCTTGCTTAATCACTTCAAACACCTATTAAAATACACTGAGGTTTGAGATTGTAATGTGTCAAAATATAGAAGTTCAAGTGAGACTTTTACACAAAACTGTATATCAGCTTTTTGTTACTTCAAAAATAAATGAATAGATCAGATGTAAAGCTTCAACCAGTTTGAAAGACAAATGTCGCCTTGATATGATCGATTGTGCTAAGAATTATGCCTCTCCAGAACGTTTTTCAGACCTTCAAGATGTTATAAAAACTATACTTTTACTACTACCTAATAGCTAGAAAGGAAAATATAAAATATATGCATGCGACTTAACTTTAAACAAGAATTTCAGATTGTATTCATATATTCATTTGTATTTTTAAACAGGTTTAGGATTAAACTGTTCTTGAATATCTATCAATTTTAGATCATTTTCATCAAACCATAAATATGGGTTGCTGCTGTCTGCTTTTTACATTACTCATTTGCTCTTTATTTCTCTTACAGCAATAAAAACAAAGTTGTTCTGTAACTTTATGGTCGATTTAAAGTAGATCAAACTTTAGCTTGCAGATCACTTTGCTTTTTCATCTGAGCTGGTGCAGAATCAGTATACAGTTTTATCAGGAGGACTTCATCACTTCTTAAATGCTTCATATTTGTCACCACTAACAAGTGCTAAAGGATTTTAATACCATTCCTGACAAAGCTAATTCTTTTAACACAGTTGAAGGAGGCATTAAAGATCTAAAGCCTCTAGTTGAAACATTAAAATACTTTTTGCAATAGCTAGCAATCAGCGCAACGCCTGCATGCTGTCTTAGTGTACAGCTGCAAAATCACTCTGCACAATGAATATGCATAGCAAAACACACATATGTGCAAAATGTCTAATCTTTTGCATTAGTGCTCACACAATTTGCCACAAACAGACAAGAACAATCTTTAATACTTACTGTCATTTCTGGTTCTCTGTTCAGGTTCTCTGTTCAGTTTGTCTCGACTATTTTCATTATCTAAACGAGACTTCTCTTACCTCTGTGTTTGATGCTGAAAATATGTAGTACGTCTGCTGCTAAACTGATATTTAAACTGGAATTAAAGCTTGTATTTTAGGCTTAGCTCTGTTGATCCACGCAGCTGCCTTGCAGATACGCTCTTAGATGTTTATGGAAACCCAGACATTGGCCGTGTGCATCTCCCCTGGGGAGATACACACTCCAAACTCTCCCTCTCTCTCTTTTCCCACTCCTGTGTCAACACTTTCTCTCCCGTGTTGTTCTGGCAAACATGCGACAACCAGCTACAAAGTATTTCAAACGTCTCCTTCACAGTCCCTACTCGCCCCCCTCACACACTCACTGCGTTGCACTGATTTTACTGGATCCAATATCCTGAAGACTGTTTCTCATTTTCTTTCATTCCAGCTGTCACTCACGTTGTGCCCTTCTGCTCCCTGCCCCTCCTCCTTTATTTCCACATCTCTTTACAACCTTGTCAGTAACTGCGTGTCACTGAAATTCCCCATGCTGTCTAGGATTCCTGTTATAATCGACGGGTATGCTGGAATGGCTGGAAGAGGCCATCAAGCTAGTTCTCTGATCCCTGAATAATTACTGGGATTATATTATAATATTTAAACCTCTTTATTGCATATTAGAGTAATCACTATTGATTATTGTCTTGTTTTCATTTATTAAATACTAATATTATCAATATCACAAGTATCTGTTTATGTTTTCTCTTTAGTATTATAATAATAATTTAACTTTTTTATGTGTGATTAAAACATAAATAAATTGTATATATGTATGTAATAGTATGGGTCATTTTGTATTTGTCAAAATCAGCTTCGCTCAATTTACCAGCACTGAATAAAAACAGTTTAAAACCAGAAACTAAATAATTTTTAAAATGTGTTTTGTATTATTAAATAGATATTTTTTAGCCATATGTAAAAGCCAGTTTTATCTTATTTCTGTATTCATGTCATGATGTATCTTCAAACGAAAAGTTTTATACATTTGACACTTTGTTTTCTTTGCAGCACATCAGTTCAGGGTTGGTTTCACATGATACATTTGGTATCAGTTTTTATCTGTTTCTCTGTTTCCTCCTTTACTCTTTACAATTTTTAGCATAAAACCTGCCCGTCTTTATTGCATTTTGTTTGCATTTTATTGCCCGTCAGCTCAAACTGACATGGCCAACAGCTGACATCATAAAACCAAGCTTTGTCAAACCCAACTTCATACTTTCCTTGTTAGCACCAGCTGCAGGTCAGGCCCCTCCTGCAGCTCCCATGGCTTTAACACCCTCTTCTTCTTTCCGTCCACCCCAGTAAAGTTCACTCATACGTACAAGCTACGGTACTATTATTGCCACCGGCCTGACGGCTGCGCATTATGTAACCCAAACACAAGCTGCCATTACAAGAGCCTGTCTCTGCTCGGGTTTCTAGCAGCACGTCTGTGTGTGTTCATATTCGTGCTTGCACTGTAGAGTTATTTGGCCCCTGTTGTGACAACCAGTCTTTACTGCTCCAAAACTAAACCCCACCTTTCTCCATTAATACAAGTTTAGCCGAACACAGTTGCTTTCATTCATGAAATCTGACATTTGTACTGATTGTAAAAATATACACACTGCTCACAGATGGGTAATGAGGCACAGAGGGATTTTCACATCTATACCACAAGGACAGTCTTTGTTGTCAGTCAAAGAATGTTAGATATTGGTTCACTTTCGTAACCAAAGTGTAACAAAGTGTTACAAAATGCAAAATGTGTAATGCTGGATGAGTTTTCATAATACAAATCAGTTCAAACAAGAGGTGGTGTCCAATAAATGTTTTTCATAGGATTTGAAATACATGCATACATGTGCAAAAGTCCAGTCAAACTTATTCCTTCACATTTTTCTTGTTTACTTTTAAGCTGGTGTAATTGGTAGTTTCTCTTAGGACTTTGGCTGCTTCCCTCCTCACAGCTGTGTGTTGTTGTTTTTTTTTTTTTACTTATGTTCAGTCATTTAATTCTCATTTATGAATTAAATATAAAAAGTACCTAGACTCAGCAAAGAAATTATATTTAATTATCTCTTGGCATATTTGTTTTCAAGATGAACAAAATTTTTTTTAAAGACAACACATTACAACTAAGATAAAGTATTTTAGCCCAATCGAGGTAATTGTCAAACAGTAATCTGGCACTCTCTGTGACAAAACTGGAGAGAATCTCTCAGAATGCTCCCTCTGTTTTAAGTCTCCTCGGCTGGTTGCCATTCAGGTTTCCTGTATTCAATGATGGGATGACTGAAGTGACGCTTTTTAATCCTGGTGGTCCCAGTTCTGCTCCCGTTGAGCTTTCCTTCAGCATCACCAGTTAATGAAATCATCAAATCCTGTTTTTTCATGTCATGCTGCTGACCAAAATAAAGTCTGTCTTTGCAGAAATAGAGTAAATAAATACTTATATAGCACACTGTGGTAATTCTGCCTTGGTTGGCATCATCCGTTCTAGCCAGAACAAAATACTGCTGAAAGATTTTTAAATGACACAAGTAAATGAGGACACGACTCTGGTTTTAGCTACTTTTGATTGGTCAATGCACAATGTGTATAGAAATTCTTGTAGTTGCTTTTAAGTGTTTAAATTACATTGTCATTTCTCCATGCTTTTTCTTCTTTATAGCCCATCACAAGACATGGAATCCAGGCCTTTACGCCAAGATGTGAGTTTGTTGTTTTTTTTTTCCTTTTGTGTGTTCTCTCCAGTTCCATGTTGCTGTTAAATTGCAGCTTTATTCAGCTGTAATTGCTGTTTTCAAATGTGCTATAGAAATAACATGGTATGGTGTAGTATGGTACGGCATAAAATGAGTATATAGAGTTCTAAACTTTTCTTGGGTCATCCTGAAATGTTTGCATCACTAAACATTCAGCAGAAGAAACAAAAGCATTCAGCTACATCTGTTCCCAGATGCAGAACAGGAGTCCATGTTGTTCTGATTTAAAGGGCTCACATTGCTTTTCTAACGATCATTCTGATAAGAATCAATTATGGTTTCATTTGAAGCCACAAGTAGCTAAACACTGCCCCTCTGTGGATGAATTGAGCTAATGCATTTCTGAAAGAAATATCAAAGAAAACGGTGACATAATTTACAATGGTAATTTTGGCTGGATTTAATTAAATATGTGTCATTGTTGTTTATATGTGCATTCAGTCTTTTCTTTGACCATTGTTTCACATGAGAAAGCACCGAGGATGGTCTATTGATGAGTTTTCTTGTCTCTTGTCTCAAAAACTGGAACCCTGAGTTGATAAAGAATAAACACAGTGAAGTACACATTTATAGCAAAAACTGTAGTTTTTGTTCACCTTTTGACTTCATTATTATATCAAAAATAATGACATAATGGCTTTTCATATAAAATAACGATGCAAAACAAACCAAAACAAATAAATAAATAAAAACCTTGGAAAAAAAATTATGCCTTTCCGTACAGAGATTAATAATATGAGAAGTACCTTAATGTAACTTTGAAGACTACAGTCTTGTGTGTAAATATTTGCACAGTTCTGCTTCAGTACTTTAATTTTAGCTGATGTTTTAAATGATACTGAATTATTCATGAGCTCTACTACCATGGCAGGAAAACACAGCGACAGGGGGTGCGGTCTTTCCTGTAGGCGAGAACGGAAGCGGAAATTCGGCCATCTCCTCGTACATTCAGGCTTCAACAGGGTCAGTACACACTTCATTTATATATATATTGTCGTTTGCTGTCAACACTCCGTGTGATTTTGTGCTTTGGGTCAGGGTAGTCAACACTGTCCCGAAGCAGGGCGTGTCTTTACCATCTAAATCCCGTTCAGAGGGGGCAATTAGGCTGCAAGTTGCGAACTAGCATTAGATGCTAGCCAGATAGCTAGCAGCAAGTGATTTCTTTATCAGTCAAACTGACAGGTAACCTTAACCCTTGTTTATAGAGGGGGGGTAAGCCACTGTCATGAATGGGATAGCTATTTTTGCTCTAGGTTCCGTTGCCTACTTATTAGGGCATTTCTGGTCCCGGCTTGTACATTTCATTTCACTTAAAAAGCCAGACTGTGGGGGAAACTGCTAGTCAACAGTTTCGATTAGCTTTGTGGGAAGAGTTGATTGCTTCGGGGACCGTTAGTAGGGGTTGTTTCTCTCACTCTCTCACGAAATGCTTGTTTCATGCGAGTTTATGCCCATGAACTTGATTATTGTTGGATTACCCATTACTAACCGTTCGTTAGCCTCTCAGCTTGGTTGCTGTGAAAGGTGTAGATATGTGTGTGTGTGACTGGGCAACCAACCGTTGTTTGGCTTATCTCTGGGGAGGTTTACTGGGCGGGGATACTTTGTTACCTGATATAATACACTGAAAGCAATGGAATAGTGCATGTTTAGCCTGAGCACGTTGCTCTCTATGTATTATATAAAGTAAGCTTAAAAAAAAAAATCAGTTTATAGGCATGGTTTTGTAGTGCCAAACGTGAACTTTTCAAATGATGCATTTCTGTAATGTGGCAAGGTGTGGTGGTCACAGGTTAACAATTAGGGCAGGGCAGGCAGCATGGAGCTTTTATTATGTTTAGCTTGGTTGATGTTGATATCACAAAGGGCAACTTGGGCCGTGTTATGTGCTGGTAGGGTGATGAGGATCAACAATTTTTACAAGACTGGTTGGTGGCGTTGTTACCTTGCAGCAAGAACATTCTGGATTGAAGTCCTGACCTGAGGTCTTTCATCTCTCCATGTACTACAGCTTTGTCCCACAGTCCAAAACATAACTGCGAGGTTCATTGGTCTTTCTAAATTGACATTAGGCATCCATGGTTGTTTGTCCTGTGCACCCGCAAGGATAAGTTTGTGTACACAAGATCGGTTGTTTTGACTAGACCAGCACAATGTATTAAATGCCAGTCACATTTCAGTTTCATTGTATGATATATCCCAACCACAAAGGATGTATAAGTTGTAATATTTGGTGGACTACAAGATTATGTGTGTCGTATGTTCAAACTGCGCTTGTCAGCAAACTATTCATCAGCCACTTTGATGGGCTTGAATTGTATTTTATGTTCATACAACTGGTCTAGATATTTTTAGATCTTGATGTTGACGCTCAGAGAGGGATACTGGAGTCATGAGAAAAACAATTGAGGATAATACCATTATCAAAATTGACAAAATAATAGTCGGCTATGATAATATATGTTTCATTTTTGCAAACGTTCTGACCAGTTGTTGGAAGGTTTTGAAGAAAACTATTAATCATTATCGGCCAGTGAAAGCCAGATTGGTGCGTCTCTGACAATAGTTAATTTCCTTGATTTTATGTTCTCCATGGAAAGAATATATTTGATAATATTTCAGAGAGGCATTGAGGTGCTTTCTCTTCAGAATAGTGTAAAGCTATGTTTTTTTATTCAATTCAATTATCAAATTATGTGAAGATGGAATTTATGTTATCGTTTTTACCAGATATCTGCATAAGGTACTCACAATCTATGTTTGCGGTGAACCGAAAGCCAACAGGCATTAAATGCGCTTTAATTATCACAATATTGTTGTGACAAAATTAAGTAACCGCATTCTTTCCTCATGTAGCCATTAGGGATGGGCAACATCACAGCAACCAAGCTGAGAGGCTGTTTAGAATTGTTTTTGAAATGTAATATGTAACAATGTATTGTCTATTATATGTTGCATGATTTTGTGTTCTTGTGTTTATGATGTAAAGCACTTTGAAATGCCTTGCTGAAATGTGCTATACAAATAAAATTTGATTGATTGATTGATTGATTGTCATCACAACACTTATTGTGATAACTTCTTTGCAATCTTTTTTAGGTACCTGTGTGGTTGTGACTGCAGGTCACACAAATACTGCTTTTAAAAATCATACCCATTTTAAAATGTGCGTCTTCAGAAAACCACTTTCCTTTAGGAAGTGTATTTTTTAGCGCTTAACTGCATAGCCTCTGCATTTAATCACATTTTTAAACATGATTAATTGGGGGTGCAACAATATTATCCACCAATCTTATCTACCTCTGCAAAAGTTTGAAAATTAACCTCTGTATATTTTTGTTAGGCTGTAAAAGACGACTGACTGACAGACCTGCACAGCAGGTCATGTCAGCACATGTGCATTTAGCAATAGTCACCTCTCTGTTGCCATCTTAGCGAACCTTATAACACTTGACAGTGTCAGTTATTAAAAAATGCATGACTGAGTGACTGTACTATACCTATAACTGTATAGTAGAGAGTAGAGGGTAGTCTGTGTTGTTTTCTCCTTTTACAATCTAGACAGAAACACATAGAGCCGTTCACAGACAGGCCTAATGGGCTTTCGGCTAATTATGTTGAGGGAATTAAAAAAAGAAAAGATAGGAGTTGTAAAAACAGATGCTTTTTAGCTTGCAGTTTTTCAACTGGTTAAAAAAATTGACTTTTCAAAAATCAATAGCTGCAACAAGCGGTGATTTTCACTTTGACTGGACATTGCAAGGCAGACATAGTCAACATAATATCACAAAAACATTTTTAGTATCTTGATATTGACGTTAATAACACAAATGGTTGCATGGTTTTAAACCATAACTAAGCACACATCAAGTTTTTAAAATTGTTTTCTTCTCCATTTCTAAAAGAGTATACAGGAAAGTCAGAGGAGTTGTGATGTTTTACTAAATGTAGCACTGCTAGTGAATTTCCTCTTTGTTGCTTCTCTGTTTTACAGGGGTTTTTTTTGGAAGCATGTGCATTGCTTTAATAAGTGTTATGCTGCTTTGTCTGAAATAGAAACTCTATGGCAATAAATAAAAAATAATAACCATGGACTAAATTAAGTACAGACGGCTCAGTATTCCTGAGTTTAGCCTACAAAAGTCTGGAATTTAAGTTTGGAAATGTACAGGAAATTCATTTACAGAACAACTTGGCATGAAATAAACAGCAAAAGTTTTCTGTCAATATTTGTGATATTTAATGTTGTAAAAAGTCAACATCGGGTTACCTGGAAGCTGCTTCTCTTTAACGTCACTAGATTCGAAAACCACATTCTACCTGAAGGTAAAGGTATGAGCTAAAGAAAGCTAAAATACATCCACCAGTGAATGATATTTACACTTCAGACATAAACAAAACAGATGACAGATTTTTGAATGATTTAAAATATAGAAGTTACACAAAACAAACCCTTTGCACAAGCCAGTTCTGAGTTACTAACCTGTTCAGTTATCTGAAAGGTACTGGAGTTGGTCTCACGTTGCTATGCATTGCTTCCATTAAGGTTTTTGAAAGAGGATGTACATACAGATGTGTCTTACTGAAGTTTCCAGATAGACAGCAGAGGCACTACAGATAATCTATCATGGAGAACTGATTTTGACTCAATTAGAAACTAGATTCTATCCTTGTAAATTTTAATTCACTTATTGGAAACAACCTTATTTATACTAATCACTTTAAATTATTTTATATTGGTTTTCTGAATTTGAGCTATTTTCAATTTGGCTTTAACTCTTCCTAAGAACTTTAAATGTATAATGAATAAAAAGAGGCTTGCTGTGCCTGATAATTGTAAATGCAGAGTATGGGGCCAATGTCTGTTGCTTCCCTTGAAATGCAGAACTTTTCTTTACCATGTAATATCAGAATAAAGACTCAGTCGCAGTCAGGTGAAGAGGTGTGCATTGCTCTAGTGGGGAGCAGCCGTATTTCACTATAGTCAGTGTAACCTGATAATTACTCATAGTGTCAGGGACAGTGTTGACGTCCCTGACTGGGCCACAAAGGACATGTTATGTCTCTTATGGTATATTAGGTTGTGTATATGAACTTTGTTACAGAGCTTCACTGATTTTTGCAACAGTAGTTTTGTGTGTAACTTTACATTTTAATTTCTTGTTCTGTATAAAGTTTCTTTAACTTGCCAAAATTTTGTTTGAACCAACTGAGGGTTTTGTTTTGTATCAGATTTGATATTTCCTGAACTCCAAAGAATATCAGGTCTTGTTTGAGAAAGCTGCGTAGTCTAAACATCCTCTCTCTATCTGTTTCAGTGAACATTTTGTAGAGACTAGCCTGCATGTGTATTTTGGTATATTTGTGTCAAAGTGCAGCAGAATAACAAGGTTTTCCTAGAAAATGATGGAATATAAAGAACACCCTTGTGCCTTGGTTACCTGGCAATGCTTCGCTGCATAATTATAGGAAGATGTTCATTAAATTACTAGTTTGAAGGGAGTTGAGAGACCAGCTGAGCACAGTTTTGGTTATATATTTTCACAGCACTTAGAAAAACATGAGTGAAAATCTGAATATGTTGTCAGGGAAATGAAGGGAGTTTTTAGAAAGTCTTTGGTTTAGTGAATTATTTTGCTACTTTTTTGCCATAGGCTTTCTGTTTTGTGAGAAACTGCAGGTTGTGCCAGTGAAAGGATGCATCCGGTCAGCAACAACTGCTTAACCTGCTCTGTTTGCAATATAGTACGTGCGACATTCAGGAGTCGGTGTGGAATCGACCAATTATGCTGCAGATGTCATTCATTTGGTGTCATTAAGCTATGAGCAGGATAAGGCCATGATGTTTGTGTCCTATTTAGAGTCTGGCATCAATTTAGCAACCAGTACAGAATAGTGCTATTCAAGGTTAGATCTCAAGGGTCCCATTTATTGTTACCCCTAAATAAAATCCAGAATAACTGATTGCCTTGAAAAGTTACCTTGTTGTTAATGGAGCTCGATGTATTTTAATCTGAATATAAACAAAGCTGTTATGTGTTGGAGTTTTTGTTTGAGAACATTAGTGCTTGAATGGCATCATGAAGACAAAGGTCACTCCAGATAAGTCAGGGATTAAGTTGTGGAGACCATTATAACTGGGATAGGTTATAAAACAATTCACCAGCCTTTGAACATGGCAAAGAGCACGGTTCGGTCCATTTTCTAAAAGAGGAAAGACTATGACAGCTGCAAACTTACCAAGACAAGTTTGCAGACTGAACAAGGAGAGAAATATTCAGAAAATCAGGCCATTGTAACTTGACCATGGTTTACATGCAAAACATTGTGTTTGCCGAAAAAAAAAAAAAAAAACTAAAAATGGACATGCTGGTGGGACTATCATACTGTGGGAAGGAACGTCTTCTGCAGGAATAAGATCCTGGTCAGTTCAAGGGGAAAAGGGTGGAGCTAAACAGGGCAGTCCTGGAAAAACACCTGTGAGAAGCTGGTAAGGATTGAGACCTGGACAGGGTTCACCTTCCTGCAAGACAGCAGCACTAAACATTCATCTAGAGCTATGGTAGAAGCATGTTCAGATGTTGCAATGACCCACTCAAAATCCAGATTTAAATCCAGTTCAGAATCTAAACCAGGGCTTGAAGTGTGTTTTCACAGATGAGCCGTTTCCAGTCGGAATTGGCTTCAACTATTTTGTACAGGAGAATGGACAGAATGAATGTACGCTGCACTTTAAAGCTTTTGTTGAGACAAACCCGTAAGAACTGTATATCATAATTTTCACTTAACTTCCCAATATAATCCATGGAAGCTTGTTCTCGTGATGTGACAAAATGCAAATAGTTCAAGGGTTTGAGAAATTTTGCAAGGCAGTGTGTTAGGCAAATACAGTGGACCAGAAAATATTTTCACCACTGTTGAAAGCTCATAGGTTTCTGGTCATTTGCAGGGAATGTAGTGATAAGGAGTATTATTACCTGGAGTTAAATAAATAGGTTGGTTGCAGAGTTCAAAGTTCAGATGATTATCAAACTGACTGAGGCACACAATGTTTTGTACTTTTACTTTCATGTACTAGTACACCTTATTGTTTATAGCTTAAATGTATCTACATTTACTTAAAGATAATTGTGTTTGATCTGTCAAATTAATTTTGAACTTCACTTTTAGTTTGTAAATAAGACAAATAGAACATCGAAATTTAGGTATTTGTGTTATTGGTTTCAGTGTTTCAGCATTTCATTTTAGTAGCATTAGCACATTGCTTATTATTGTAATCTTCATACCTTGTTGTGTATATATGTATATTAGTTATCTATAACCTGGGTTATATTGAAGGTTCTAAAATGGGGGTGTTTGGATTGGGGCTCTGTGTATGGTATGTGTAGAACTTGCATCGATAGGGATTGGTGGTGAACAGAAGTGTGGTGGTCAGAAACAAATTCACAATAAAAATGTTCAACAGGGGTGCTCAAGTATAGTCATCAAGAGCTATCATCCTGCAACTTTTAGAAGCATCCTCTCTCCAACAGACCGGGATCAGCTCTAAACAGGCCTGGTAATGAGCCATTCATTTGATTAAGGTGTGTTGGAGCAGGCATGCATCTGAAAGTTGCAGGATGGTAGCTCTCAAGCACTCCTCATCTACAAGAAGCATATTTGGAATCTGTTTTAGAGATTTCACTGAAATGTATTGATTCCTTTGCTTTGACTTTCATGGTAAAATATTGATGCTTTTTGAGACAAATCTAGAAATAACAATTGGTTAATGTTATGTTTTTTGAAATGGTTCAAACTTCAGTTCATTCTGCAAGGCTATGCTCCAATAAATGTTAGTTTTTTCTTCATTTTAGTTTAGTTACATTCTTTTTAACTGAATTGTGAATTGGCTGTTTTTTATTGCTGACAATTAGGAAAATGTATCTCTGGAGTAGAATATTTTAACTAAATGAAGAAATCTTTCTTTCTCTATTGACCATGTGTGGGTCAGGAACAAATCATGTGATATTCTCAAGATGAATATGCGCTTTGTATTCTATAATGGTTATTTAAAGTTAGTTATGACATAAGATCTTCCCTGTTTGTTCTGCATGTCTTCACTTCACTTCGCTTCAACTTTTATTTTTATTTTCCTGCAGTTTCCGTCGTCTATCATCTGGTTTTCAGACCCAATGTCGTCACGGGAAGAAAAAGATAAACTGAGACAAAACGCTCCATGAATGAGTGGTGGCCAAGGTTGAGAAACAAAAGTTTACAAAGAGGGGGACCTTTTCTTCACTTCACTACTTGAGAAACAGATGTATGTGATCTTTTGTTCTGTTGAAGACAAATTTCAAAGATCATTTTCTCTCTTCTTCCTTTTTGCTGTTGGATATTATTTAAAAATATGTTGCTTTGTCACCTTTAATCTTTTTAATCCTGCAACTTTCTGTGCAGATTGATACTGAAGTCTGTGGCTAGACAGTTGCCATGTCGACCTCTTCGCTGCGGCGACAAGTAAAGAACATCGTCCACAACTATTCAGAGGCTGAAATCAAGGTTATATTTTTTTTTTTTGCTTTATCTGGATTTTCTTTTTGTGTTTTTTCCTGCAGTTGAAGGCTATCCTGCATTGGTTATTTTGTGTGCATTAGACATTTATGCAATCACACAGACCTTGAATAGAGGATAATTGAAGTGTATCCCCTCCTGTGTTGTTATCCAGGTTAGAGAGGCAACATCCAATGACCCATGGGGCCCCAGCAGCTCTCTTATGTCAGAGATAGCAGATCTGACCTACAATGTTGTGGCCTTCTCAGAAATCATGAGCATGGTGTGGAAACGACTGAATGACCATGGAAAGAACTGGAGACATGTCTACAAGGTATGCAGCGTCATGTTAAAGGTAGTAATCATCTCCAGAGATTCACCAGTAAAACAATAGTGGCCGACATCTGATTGCTTACTTTTCCAAAGAACTGACATGTTGGACGTCATTGGATCTGGTTCTGATTTCTAATAAGAAACTCACACAAACAGCATTCAAATGTACCTGCCTTACTGGTCGACAGTCATTTGTTTTAGGAGTAGAGAAAATGCCACAGCATGTGCAAGACAGTGGCAGTAATCACAGGTTTTGCTATTCTATAAGATAAAGTGATAGCAGACTTGAGATTGTAAATACAGTTTTGCATATTAATTTATTGATCCTCTGTATATACATTTTGACCTTCCACTCTGTTTCACCTTTATCACTGGTGTTTGTAAGTGTGACATGAACCATGTTTTTTCTGTTACCTATTTGCCTTTATGCTTTTTCCCCTTTATTAGGCTATGACTCTTATGGAGTATCTGATCAAGACAGGCTCAGAGCGCGTAGCTCAACAGTGTCGGGAAAACATTTATGCAGTCCAGACTCTGAAGGATTTTCAGTACATAGACAGGGATGGCAAAGACCAGGTAACCAAACATGACCATCCTTGCAAAGCTGAAAAGAAAGTTGACATGTTTAATCAGTGTGATCTTCTTTTGTTGACTGTAGGCAAACTTTGACTTGCTACTTGGTTCATTGAGGGACAGTTTGTGCTACATTGTTTCTGATCTCTCACACAACCTCACAAAGCCAGTTGTTTGCTGGTAATGAGTAATTTAACAAAGTTAATGATTTAGAGTGGGACTATAATATTACAAATCTTAAGCCACCCATAATTTATGTTTAGTTTTCAACTGGAGTTTTAATCAATTAAATGATTGAAATTTAGAGGGTTTATTTTCCAAATGAATCAAAATAGAAGCACAGAATAGACTCTCGGGTCATTTAAAAAGTATTCTGTGACATGTAGTCAGAACAGCAGTCCAGACTCTGACTTAGGTGCTTCTTTTGCCTGAATGATTCATAGGCTTTCCTGAAGTTGATAAACAAAACACATATTTTATAGGAATCTTCAGTCACATGTACAGGTACATCTAAAAAAAGTTATATTGTGAAAAAGTTCTGTTTTATGTCACTAGTTTCAGAAAGTGAAGCTCATCTGTTGCATAGTGAAATCCTAAAAGGCTTCATTTGTTAAAATTGTACATTTGAATTGATGGACCAGCACAAAGGATTACATAGTTGTGAAATAAGAGGAAGAAAATTAATTAATGGTTTTCCAAATGTTGTTTGGAAAACATATATGAGAATGTTTCTGAAATGTTTATTTGTTTCAGTAACTCACTTTACTGCAGTAAAACACATTATACAGATTACAAACACTGATGTTTGCAAGCCTTTACTTCTGTTAATCATGCAGATTATCTGCTTACAGCTAATGAAAACATAACATTTGAGATTAGAATATTACATCAGACCAATAAAATAGAGATACACTGATGGTTGGTTGATTAGATGTATGTTTAAAAAGCGTGAAAGGTTATTTTCTATCTGACAAACGAAATCCCAATCAAATACAGCTGAAGTCTGTGGCCGCATCACGATGAAATGGCAAATCATTCTGTCTATTTTCCCATATACAATCAAGATGTTGGCATGTTTTGAATTAATCTAATCAGTGTCAAGGTAACAAATAGCTTTCATCTGTGCCTTTAATTCATCCAGGGTCTGAATGTGAGAGAGAAAGCTAAACAGCTGGTGACATTGTTAAAAGATGAAGAGAAACTAAGAGAAGAAAGGATCCATGCCCTTAAAACCAAAGAGAAAATGGCACAGACCACCAGTGGTAAGACAGCTGAATTAGATACAAATAAGGCACTCTTGAATGAGGGAATTGTTTCACTGTTGCCTATTTGTCTCTGCTGCAGCCTCCTCGGCCCCCTCAGCGCCCAGCCTTGGGGGCAGCCTGTCCATGGGCTCTCATTCTGGAGATCCTGACCAGGCATGGCCACAAAGCTCTGGAGAGGAAGACCTTCAGCTTCAGTTGGCGTTGGCAATGAGTAAAGAGGAGGCAGAGCAGGTAACTTAGTGTGGTTCAACCCGACCAGAAGGGGTTCTTCACACTGCGCTTTACCTAACCTGTTTCCAGTTGCAAAACAGGAGCAGCTGTACACACAGAGGAATAAGAGGGATCTTGTCTCCTGCTGCTGTACACATAGCTTTGCTCTCACAATTTAACTGCTGACCTCCCCCAGACTAGCGCGGACCCTCTGGAGGATGCAGAGCTTCGCTATGCAATGACACTCAGCAAAGAGATTCACCAAAAGGTCAGGGGCAAGGAGTGTGCTGAGCTGACTGGGGAGCCAGTCATCAACTATTTGTTTTTCTGTCAGATGGAATTTCTCAATTCAATACTAAATATTGATTAATCAAGAAAATTAATTATTGTTAAATGTGATTTGTGGCCTTTTGCTGCCTATACACATTTTCATCAGACCATTAAAATTCTATTGAGATAATTGAGTTTGCTGTTGCTTTCTGTTTTTACAGTGCTCGCATTCACAGAATACATGTAAAGCCCCGATTCCAATCATTTTAATGAGATTCAGTGCTTTCAAAAAGTGTTTTCCCTTTTTATAAATTCTGTTTTTGCTTTTTTTTGCCACACTTAAATGTTTCAAACCTATGTTATATCAGACAAACATAACCAGAGTAAATAAAAAGATTCAGTTTTGAACTGATGTTAGAAATGAAAAAAAAAAAAAACTTTCCAAATCAGCTCAGCACTATGTGAAAAAGTTCGTCTAAAACCAATAAAAAGCTGCTATAACTGACAATTAGTCTTATACATTTTCAGCTGCTTGGAGATAACTTGATTGGCACGATACAGTCTATAGCGGATTATGCTTGTTGTGATCAGTGATAATTTTGGCCTTGGAACTTTGCTTGAAGTGATGTGTTATTGTCGTAATCACTGACCTGAGCTGAAGCAAACAGAGCTTACAATTCTTGGGTTATTCTGTGTCTCCCTGGTTAAGTTGTTGAGACGTTCTGAGAATAATTGTTATTGGTCGGCGACTCTTTGAAAAGTTAATGGTGGTTTACAAGAGTCTCAAAGCCTTAAAACAGCTTGCTAAGCCTTTCCAGACTGAAAGGTGTCAGTGATTCATTTTTTTTGCTCCGCATGTGTTGTCAGATCATGTTTGAGTGGTTTCTTGACCTTTCTAAAGGTCAGGTAATAATCAGGCCTGGATGTGACTTGTGACATTCAACCACAAAATCCAACTTGTGACATTCAACCATTCAAACAGAACCAGATTGAGACAAACCGGCTCTGTTTGTTTAGACTTTTGTTTATGTGTTTTTTCATTTAAATGAAATAACTGTTTTAAAACCGGTTTGATCTGATACTTTCAAATACAACAAACAAGCAAAACCAGAACAGATCTGTGAAGGGGAAATGCCTTTTCACTGCACTGTACATTAAGTATGACCTTTCAAGCAGTTGATCAACCATGATTAAAGTGTTAAATATGCATGGCAGAGACAAATATTTTTTCATACTAATAACCTAGGCGTGGATTGTAAGTATTGATCCCTCTTCCTTTCAGCATGCCACTAACTATTGCCTTCTTTTCAGCATGCCACTAACTATTGCGTCGCTTCAAATAAGCTTCTTCTGTCCCGCTGCACTTTTTGTGAAGTTTACACCTTTGTTGCTGAGTGTTTGTGTGCAAAACAATTTGTCTTATTAACAGTTAAATCATTTATATATCTTATTACTAATGCTATAAAAGTTTTAAGGTGCTTTTTGGACATGATTTCATTGTTGTTTTTACTTAAAGGTGTTCAGTCCATTTATTCAGGGATTAGTTGGCGTTCTGCTGTGTTATAACCAGTCTTCTATGTAATACTAAAGATAGCATTTGTCAGAATGTCTTAAAGATAGCATTTGTCAGAATGTCTTATGCTCATATGCAGGCTGTTGGATGTTAACAGCCTTCACATTCCCACATTTCATTTCTCTTCTGTTAGCATTTCTAATTGGTTGACTGTCATCAGCATTTTGCTTCTGCCTTTCTGTCTCAGGGATCTCAACTACAGGTCATTCTGTTATTCATAGGGTCAATTTTAAAGAGTCTCGACTTTATTCAGCTAGTTCCTGGTAAGATTGCCAAGCAGATAAATTGGGGTTAAGCAAGTAAAGGACATGCATAACTGTCCTGCAGCTATGGTAGTTATGCTATCCTAGCTGCAGGATAAGTAGCTGCAAACAGTTCTGGTTTGGCTGATTGAAACACATAAACTCTGATCATTGACGGTTTTTAGGATTATTTTTTCACAAATTCAGATTTCTTTTGTTGAGTTGCAGATGGTGTCTGATTTCATGTTGTTTTATTAGGTTGCTGACATCAGTCTGTGTGCGTGCATGGTGTGTGTGTGTGTGTGATTGACAGGAGGAGCGGCTGCGGAGAGGCGACGACCTGAGACTGCAGATGGCCATTGAGGAGAGCAAGAGAGAGAAACCAAAACCAGAAGAGGTGTGTGTCAATATACTGACCTGTATAGTCATACATTTTATGGCTTTTTTGGTTGCATCTCTCAATTAGAAACCTTTGTTTTTGGTGGACATAATAACCATTGATGTATCAAATGTCCTCCAAACGAGTTCGAACCTTTACACGACAAAAATTCAAAATCTTACAAAGTAGCTTTGGTCTAGTTTCTCATGCAAATATCTTTGTATGCTTGAAATAAGGCAAAACTAACTTACAACAGGATATATGAGCTTGTTTAGAATCAATAATACTTTCTATTTAAAACAAGCTTCTATATCTTGCTGGAGGATTACCTGGAAGTTGGTATTCTTGAACTAGACCAAAAGCACTAGCTAAGATTTTGTTTTTTTGCAGTTTGAGCATTTACACGTCTTTTTAACGGTTCAAACAAAAACTTCAATATATTTATTTGTGATTTTTGTGACTGCCACAGGTTTGTGATTTTCAAGATGTTTTAGTAATGATAATCTGATGAGTGCTGATTCCCTAATTAAAACCCCCAAATCACTTAATTAGTAAATGGAAACCAGCAGTGTTTAATTAAAGCCTCAGAACTTTAGTTCACAGCAGATAAATTGGGGTTAAAAAGTTGACATTTAGATAAAGCTTATGTTATAAAACTATGTCACATGTTTTGGAACTGTCACAGAGCTCAGTTTATTTTATAAAATCAGAGAGCATGTTTTGCAAACCTACAAAAACATGCCCGTTATCCCAAGTTGATAGGCTGAGCGAAGACGGCTTTAATCAAAGAAGCAACCAAGAGTCCCATGACTTTTCGGATGAAGTATGTGAGTACCTTTAAACTGTGGGTTAGCGATGGGTGGCTGTAATGTGGGTGGAGTGACTTCAACCCCACATTTTATGTTGGAACCTTCGAGTTGATCACAAAGCGTAAAGAACAGAATGAAAGGATGATCTGAAAGCGGTGTAAGTTTCACATCCAGTTGCTGTAGTAACATTATTCCATTTTCTGTTCCCTGTTCAGAGTGCTCTCATGGAGCTGAGTGCAGTGGACCCCTGGGGGGCTCCTGCTAACGCCACTGTGAGCTCTGCTGGCCCTTCCCCTCCCCTCCCACTATCTGGCTCCTCCGCCTCCGGCCCATGGGGTCCAGCTCCCACAGATCCATGGGGAGTAGCTTCACCCACGTCCCCTACGAGCACTGACCCCTGGGGTGGAGGAACCGCGCCCCCTGTAGCCCCTCCTCCAGACCCCTGGGGGGAGACATCAAACAAAGTTAACAATGTCGACCCTTGGGGAAACTCAGGTACGCTGCCACAGCTCTTGGTTGTTGTCACATCAGCTCGGTAGAAAAAGGTCAGAGCTTTAAAACAGAAGTCTGTTTCTGACTCGAAGAGGAAGTGAGCACCAAAACCTTTGCTTGTTTCAAACCTCACATTCTCTGTTCAAAATGTGTATATTTACATCCAGTCATGTCATGATCCTTTCATAATTGATCTTCTCATCCAACTAAGGGGCGTTTCGACCGCAGGAACCTTTTCCAGGAGCCAGAGTCTATACTGGGGTCCTTCCTTTATGTGTCCAGGAAATTAAACAGAGTTCTGGGGTAAAAACAGCTGTGCTAGGGGTGTAATACATTCAGAATGCTCTGAAGCCTGAGGGTAGGGTTTGTGGTGGAGGGGCACTACACATTTCTAATTGGTTGAGTGTTCTCAGCATTTTGCTTCTGCCTTTCTGTCACAGGCATCTCAACGACAGGTCATTCTGTTCTCTTAATTTCAAATTCTCGCAGAGAACCTTGAGTTTTTTCTGCAAAAGAAACAATTAGGCAGCTTCAATCTGCTGAGGAAACAACTCTCAGTGGCAGCTATAGTACAAGCTTATTAAATCATAACAATAAAAGGCTGCTTCACAAAAGGTTGGATTATGAGGAAATCACTTTAAGCTCAGCTGAAGTGATTATCTGTGCAACAGGTTTAAACTGAGACATCTCCATTGAGGTTAGAACATTTAAATACGCAAAACAACCACATATTGATAACAGACTTAAAGCATGAAAACACTGATGCACGCTGCCTCTCTGAGTGTGTTCATTTTATGCAGCCCTTTTCCGACATCTGGGTGAGAGTACAAACATACAGTTCATCCCTGCAGGTCGAGTTCTCTGTCGGCACAAGTGTTTCATCTACAAATAGGCTGCAAATTCTCAGGAAACGTTCAGACGACCGCCAGTAGAGAAATTTGAAAAGTGCTGCAGTCTGAAGCTTCCCCTGCTGACTTTCTTCAGTTCTGATCTCCAGAGAGGAAAGACTCTGACAAAAATACCAGGACAAAGTAACAAAATGAATCTTTGTTTAATTATAGTTAAGCCCAAAATAATTCACATCTCTGGCAGATTTCTGCTGAGTGAAACGTACCAGGGTTTTTACAAAATACCAGTAGAAACATGCAAAAATAACAATAAAAGACATTGATCAGAAATTTATTTGTTCTAATGGCAATACATTGAGGATGTAAATATCTTATTTTTGATGAAAACAGATAAAACATTTTTTTTTATGTTGCTCTGTAAATGTTTGTCTCAATAGAGACAGAAACAAATTTACTGTTGGAATGATAATTATTAAAATTAGGTTTAATTTAGGGCCTTAATGTTAGAGGTTGTCTTCATAACAGAGCCAAATGAAAGATGTTAAAATTGGTCCAATTTCTCTTTTGAGTTTCTGATGGAGCTTTTGAATAAACCGAAGGCTTAATATTTAATATTTCTAATGACAAAGATTTTATGTATGGAGGTCAAATAATTAACTCCAAGGAACTTGATGAATAAATGATTCTTGGTGTCATAAATAGATGACACCAAGTTTGTTTACAATATTATTGGAGGGCTAATTAATGTCATTCAGAGCAAGAGACTGAACACTTTGAATTTAAAAATGGAAAATTAAACATCATCCAGGTTCGTTTTCCAGAGCTGCCTGACTGGATTCATCAGGCTTTATGGATAAATATGATCGAGAATCAACAGCATAAATGTGGACATAAAGTTAAAAAAAAAATCAGGGTCATATCAGGACAGCTTTGGTCGAAACTCCCCTCTGTGTGCTTTGCAGGCATGCTGAGTCCGTTCTCCCTCTGTGTCTAAACCAGGGATTTTTATCCTCTTGTTTCTACTCAGGCTGCGTCTCAACCAGAGCACTTTCTCTTCTGTTGCCCTTTTTTGCCTTCTATTCTTTTCTTTTTTTTTAATGTATGAGGTTGCTTCCTGCTGTCTCTCCTTCACCTCCACTGAGCTCAAATTGAGTCACAGCAACAAATACAGCTGACCTCTTCTGACCTCAGTCAGGACGTTTGTGGGGTGGAGAGGTTAAGGAGAGAGAAGTGCTTCTGTTTGAACCCGGCTCAGCTTCCACCTTCCTCCATTCTGTGGGTCGTTACCTGTATGGTGTTGTGTTAACCCCTCGCTCCCCTGCATCTCCTCCCCTCCCCTTTAGCCATCACCCCACCCAGTGCTGACCCCTGGGGCTCCCCTGTGCCACCCAGCACGTCCTCCTCAGGGGGACCGGTGGACCCCTGGGCAAAGGATGGGCCTGTCCCCGCCTCTGACCCTATCACCTCCGACATCTGGAGTGGCTCCGCCAAACACACTAATGGCACAGGTACAGTCACACCTGAACCTACACGGACTCACACACTCAGGTGCAGACTCTCAGTAACCCCTCCCAACAGTTGTCTAACATTTAGTCCTCTTGTAGTGTGTGTGAGTGAATCATTACATTCATTTGTTTTTGTGTGTCTTGTTTACACACACGCGCCTCCCTTTTCACTCTCAGGGGATCCAGAGCGAAGAGGCTCCTCAACAACGGGCTGCGACAGCACGGTCTCACCGGTGCCCTTTGACCTGTCGTCACTCGGCTCTTCGCTTCCTGTTCGTAAAACTCCGGAGTCGTTCCTCGGCCCCAACGCGGCGCTCGTTGATCTCGATTCCCTGGTTTCGTCTAAACCCAAACCCAAACAGCCGCCGCCTCCTTCCATCTCGGCCTCTTCGTCGAACAACCCCTTCCTTCAGAGCACGGGTGAGAAACCAGCTGCACCACAGGCGTATGTCAGACGAATACGTTCTTTATCTTTCATTTTAGGAAATCAAGCTTCAGGTTATTCGCAGATACTTAAAGAGTCTTTAAATTGGTAAATCTAAAATGAAAGCTATAAAATGTCCTTTTGAAACGATTTTTCTTGACAATCCTCTCAAGATTGCAATTATTCTTTCTGCTGGCAAACCTTTTCCTTCCACTAAACTTCTTCCTGTCAACAATCAGCGTCTTCAGGAAGACTTTACATCCTTGTACAGAAAAGCAAATCACTGTTTTTCTGTTAAGGTGCTATAATATTCAGATGTGGGAACTTATTACTTATTAAACTTAGAAATATATCCAGCTGATAAATTGACCTCAGTTTTCGTAATTGTATGGGGATCGACGTTTTGCCAATACTTACCTGTGAAGCCGATCTTATCCATCTGCTTCAGCAAAGGTCTAAAGATCAACCACTGTCCTCTTCGGCTCTTCAGTGAGAGGTTTGACTGACCAGGTCATGTTTGTAACAATGGTCACCTCACAACTCAGTGACTTTCTTGCTATATTTACTGACATTACATAAAAGAAAATTGTCTGTAATGTAAACCTGTAAACCAAAATCAGCAGGTTGGGCATCTTAATGATTGGTAATCAGTGATCAGCCAGAAAACTGCAACCCTACGTAGAAGATTTTATGATTGCATATTGAAGACTTTATTAATAATAAACCTGTCATCTCTGTTCTGCAGGCTCGTCTGCTGCTCCTGGCATGGCCGTGACTCCAGGCAGCACCATCTCCAGCAGGGGCGTTTCACCAACACCCGTCTCCTCCAACCCGTTCGGCGTGGCCCCATCCATGACCTCCATCTCCCCCCAGCCTTCGTCCCTTGGCCTGAGCGGCCTGCGTACCAGTCCTGTGCCTCCCAACCCCATGCTGGGCATGGTCCAACCAGGAATGGGTCTGGGGCCGATGAGCATAGGAATGGGGGCCCCCGGTATGGGCCTGGGCATGATGCAAGCCAGCCCAATGGGGATGCCGTTCAGCGGGCTCTCCCCGATGGGACCCCCGGGCTCTGCCCTTTTGGGGCCCGGAGCTATGCCACCCCCTCAGCAGATTTTGGGTGGGCCCGCAGGAGCAGGAGGAATGATGGGAGCAGGAGGCTCCATGGGCAGCGGAGGAACGGCGGGAGCAAGCACCAATCCGTTTCTTCTTTGAGGACGCGTCACCACTACTTTGCTCACCTTTCTGCCTCAGCTGTCGTACCTGCTTCCCCCTTCATTCATTCTTCGACACCCCTCAAACTCTCCCAACACAAGATTTATCCACAAAGAAAGACGTCTACATTAAAAAGAACAAAAATGTTTATTTTCCTTTAAAGGCATAATTTCATTTCAGATTATTGTTCCACTTTTTTGGTCCCTTTCATTTCAAAATTTGTGTCAAATAGAAGTATTTATTTCCAATCTGTTTCTGTTCTGTATTTTCTGTTTCTGTCCAGTCTTTTGTTGAGATGAAAGGTGAGTCAGTGAGAGCAGGGAGTTTTTTTTTTTGTTGTTTTTTTTTTTCCGTAGTGTCACTCTCCACTCATAGTACTACTGCACACGAGAGGGAGCCGGAGGAAGAGGTCACACAGCCACTAACGAACTGAGCAGAGAAACTGTCGTACCTCACTCTTCCTCCTCCTTCTCTCCCTCCTTCTAGAGCGAAGACAAACACTGAATCACTGAAATGAAACGAGTGCATGAAGGATGATTTTTAAACGGAGCCCCAGACTGAGATAAAAAAAAACCTGCATTAACATTTCGGTCACAATGTGGTCAAACTGTCTCAACCGGTTCACTTTTAATTTAATTTAATGTTGAGTGTAACTTATTTTTTTCCAATACCTGGGAACAAATAAACAAGGAAGATCATGCGATGATGCCATTGAAATCAGATGCTTATATATTTTTTTTTTCTACAACAGTAGGGGGGGGAGCTCTGACGTGTGCTCTGATGGCAGGAAAAACAAACTGAGTGTGTTTGCGGCTGAGGGCGAATGAGAACACAAATGCTTATTTATCAGATGCCAGTTTGTTTGTTTCAGTACTTTGTCCCATTTCTCCTTGTGTCTGATCTCATTTCAGCGACTCTGAATGGAAAAAAAAAAGCATTTCTGAAAATTGTCACCTGTGATGATATGTAAGGTTGGATTTTAAATGAGGTATTTTATGGGTCCTGTGATTTCTCTGCCAATCTTTTATTTTTAATTACCTATTTCAGCTAGGACACCTGGAGTTCAGGCGACCCAAAGCAACACTGTCCTCATGTTTCATCCTCTTTTTCTTTGTGAAGGGAGCTTCAGCCGACGCTTCTTCAAAGAGACAATTATTTCATTGAGTGAACGGAGACAACACAGGGACATGAAAACATGCTCCATACTGCTCTTTTAATTTAGCTGGATGAATTTATTATTTTATATCAAGAGAAGTATCTTTTATTGGGTAAGTTTGACTTTTGTGTGGTGTCAACATGTGAACATTCACATTTGAAAAGAAAAATTGAGAAAAAAAATCTACAGAAATTTATGAAATAAAACAAAACCAGGGAGTGTGTGTTTCATGACTTGTGTATTTGTTGGGGTGGGGGATCTAACATGTGAAGCGACTTACCCACTTAAGATAAACAATAGAATATTACAGCCTATGAATTAAAAGAAACAAACATAAAACTCCTAAGGTTCAGTCATTAGTGATGAACCTGATCCCAGACTTACTGTCAGGGAAACAGGAAGTGAAGTTTTTACTGAAATATTTGGTGATTTTCTTTTTTATCCTCCATCACAAGGAACCGAGGCTCAAAGGATGAGAGAGTCCCAGTCAAAGTCGTCCTGGAACTCTTCACTGTTGCTGTGCAGGTTCTTCAGAGGAGGACGCTGTCGTGGCGCCACAGGCTGAGGATGGATCCCTGCTGAGACGTAAACGGGAAACGTGAACTGAAAGTTTAGACCTCAAAGGAAGTGTGAGATTTCTTTTAAAAGCGATTTCTAATTAACTTCTCTTTTTCCAATTGTTACAGTGAGAAACTGCCTTTCAGTTTTCACAAGGAAAAAACAAAAGCATCTCAATCTTGCAAATGTTTTACATTATGTGTGTAAAAAAAAAAAAAAAAAAGGTCAAGATTTCCTTGAAGTTTCCCTAAAAGTCAGCTACTCACCAGCTGCGTTTGCCAGATGTGGTCTCTGTAGAGCAGGTCCCTGCATGGGTGGGGGTCTCCGGGGCATCTGTGTGCCATTGGTGGGAGTGACGGGGTAGGGCAGGGGAGAGGGGTGAGTGAGGCTGGTGAGGGTCGGAGGAGGGTTGGATGTCAGCGGCGATGGCTGCAGGAAGTGAGGTGCACCGTGGGTAACTGGGGAGTTGTTTCCAGGACTGATCATGCCTTTCTGAGAAAAGAAGCGGTTCAGAGAGTCGCAGAGGGAGGTGAAGAGGCCGGGGTCGAGGGCCCAGTCGCAGAGCTCAGCCTGCTTCATGCTCTCCAGCAGGTCTGGGACAGAAAATAAAGACGCCTTTGTTAAAATACAGAAGATCAGGTGACTTTTACTTCAATAAGTACAACGAAGCCTTTGATTCAATTTCTGAAATGAATCAGCTGTTCACGAAAGATCATAATGAAAGAATCTATAAAATCCTCTATTCAGTTACATATACCTGAATAACTGTTGGAGGTGGAGTACTTCAAGGAGTAGTTTCACTATGACTTAAGTTACAATATCATTGCTCTTACTTGAGTAAAATTTGTAAGTATTCTACTCACCTATGGTCATAATCACCAAAATAAACAAACACTTTAAACTTATCACTGTATGTGACGAAGCTATCTATGCGTTTAATAACTATAAACTATCCTTTTCATTGCATATTGATAGTTTTGAGGGTGTTGTGATCATTGACGAGAGAAAGATTGGAGACGGATATCCTAGAACCTTGCTATGCAAATCAAAAACTCTTCCATGACAGGAGGAGACAAATGTGTTGTTTTGAAAATATTGTGAACTGGTCCTTTAAATGAGATTGTGGCGAGCAGCACAGACCTGGGTGACTGGACAGGTCTATGTTTGCCCAGTCCAGATTGCTGGCGATGCGGAAGCTCTCCTTCAGCGAATCTGTGTTGCTGAACCAATCGGCTGGCACCGCTGCAGGGGCAGAAGGGATGGAGGGAAATGTTCAAAACTGAAAACAGTTTTTGTTCTAGTCATGTCGCAGGTTTTCTTAGCGTTAAATAATCTCTGGGACGAGATATTAACGTGAGACTCACTGAGTTGCGAAATGCGCTCTGACTCTGCAGGGTGTGGAGCTTGCATGGCCTCTGCAGCTGGTACAGTCGGCGGACCTGCGACCGGCTGTTGACCTGCAACTGGCGGTGCAGTCAGTGCAGGCGTGGGGTGAGGGGAGAACGGCGGCAGCGTGGGAGTGTGAAGAGGCGTAGTGTCGTTACCGGGAACAAGCAGGGGAGCGACGTCCGCTTCAGGGGAAAGAAAACAAGTGATTCCTCCAAGTCGCTCATGTGTGTCGTGCTTGTGCGTCTTGAACGGGCCTGCATACTCACAGATGGAGCCTCCCCTCTCACGCATCGTCTTGAAAAGGGACTTGAAGGAAGCGTACAGGTCCGGAATATTGAGATCCTCGAAGGAGAAGCGCAGAGGAGGATCGACAGTGTGGTGGCCCGAAGCCGCCGGAGGTGGGGCTACGGTGGGGCAGGAGGAGCTGGGACCAGACACGGTGCAAACGGGCGTAGAGTTAGAAGTGCAGGAAAAAGTGGAAACAGGCAGAGGGCCTGAGTTGGCGGGAAAGGACAGGGCTGAGTTAGAATAAGAGGGAGCAGCTGCAGACGCTGCAGGGACAGAAAAGGTGGAGCCAGGTGGGAGGGGAGGAGGGAAGGAATTGATGGATGACATGGGGACTGCTGGCGGGAGCTCAGCTGATTGAGAAACAGATAAATGAGAGGCAGGTAGAGCGGCGGCATGGGCTGACATGTAGGGCGACGGTTCCTGCGAAGACGAAGATAAGACTTTGATGTAAAACCCGTCAAACACGGCTGTAATATGAGCTGGAAGGGAGCGAATCTACCTCGTGTGGGGGAGGAGACGGAGGGTGCTGGGTGGCTCTGGCTGGGGACGCGTTGAACTGCGGGTCCAGGTGGGGAGAGGGCCCTCTCACCGCCGCCGCCTTTGCAGGTGGAGGATTCTGAAAAAGCACAGAATCAGCCTTTAAGCGTGGATGAGAAGAGAAAATCCCATGGGAATGCAGCATTACAGCAAACACAGAACGAGACAAAAACAACAGAGTTGAGTCTGTGCTCAGGTCCTACACCCACGCTCTGAATGCAGAGCAGAGAACAGTGACTAACCTCAAAACCTGTTCACAGGCTGGCGAACTCTTCCGTTAAAAAAAGCACGAGAATTTTATTTCACACCAGGAAAAGTGAAGAAAAAGCTCTTAAAGTTAATCTCTGAGAAGCAGTGAGGAGTGAGCATCAGATCTGCATGTACAGCTGGAGCTGTTTTAGTCACCAAAACAACCATCTAAATCATTCTTTTTATTTTACCTTTTATGGAAACAATACTTGAAATTGTTTTCGATTTTAAATATTTGAGACAATATAAATAATAGTCAGAGTTGGGTAGTAACTAGTTGTATTTACTTAAGTAACATTTTGGAAAAATTCTACTCTTACTATTTTTTTTTACTTGAGAACTTTTATTATGAAGTACTGAAACTCTTATTTGAGTAAACTTTCTGGGTACTCCACTTTAACCAAAAAGTCAGCACACACAGACACACACCTGCAGTTCTAAGTTAAAAAAAAAAACTGATTTGGAAAGTTGTTTCTTTTGCCTGAATTTATATTGCAATTTGCTATTTATATTAATTATCTTCAATATGTCCTCTAAAATATCAATATTCTGCATGTCTTTGTATTGTGATGTCATTTTTAAGCACACATGATTGATGATTTGATGAGCTGGTCAGTATCTGAGTGCCATTTATACTACAAGTACTTTTTTACTCTAACTGGAGTGATTTCTTGGATGGCTACGTTTTAGTCTTACTTGAGTAAAACCATGTTGAAGTAGCGCTGCTCTTACTTGAGTACAATTTTTGAGCACATTTTCAGTAGCAAGTGAAGGAAACTACACAAAGCCTGAGCCCTGCTGTCTATTTCAGCCAATTGTTTCCGCTGTCTTCTAGTCATGATCCATATCTGTTGACCACAGGTAAAGGTCAGGACAAAGACAGACTGGTAAACTGAGAGGTTCACTAATTAATTCAGCTCTTTTTTCACCACAGCAGACTGTAGCGGCGTCCACATTACCGCAGACGAACAATCGGCCTGTTAAAACAATTCCCGCTACCGTGCATTGTGACCCAGGCCCTCTGTTACTTTGAGGCTGACCTCTGACCTGATGGGAGCAGTTCGCCTTCCTCTGGTTAAGCTCAATGACTGCAGAATTAGAGAAGAACTGTCTTTTTTTCAGGAGGGGTTTGAGTTCAGGGGTCAGATTTTGGCGAAGGTCTCACAAGGTAAACCGCTCACCACTGAGCACCTGGTAGTTGAGAGTTTAAACCAATAAAATTTATATATTTATTGATTTTTTTTGTGTGTGATGATTAGATCATCACTCAACTTTCAGCAGAAAGTCTTGAATAGGAAATGAGTGACTCCTGGGTCAGCAAGTTGAGTTCAGTTTTCATGGTAACAGGATATAAGCTTTATCTTCTGTGTGCAAAAGTCTTGAGTCAGTTTTATGCGGTGGTAATCATAAACTTTCTTTAGTCTTTGGCTTCTTTTTACTCATAATTTAGCAAAAATAAATCAACTTCTGCATTTATATATGACCACATCTTGAACCGGAAAGTAGCTGAATGACATCATAGCTGCCACATGTTAACACTAGAGGACTGAACGAGACTCAGAAAAGGCAGAAAAACTCAAAAGAAAAACTATGAAAGACCTTCAGGAAGCCTTTTAAAATCTGAGCAGAAAAATAAAGGATTTTGTTCCACTTTTAACACATAACACATCTATAAAATTGGTCTGCAAAACATGAGCAGTTAAAGAGCTTTCAAATTAACGATATTGATCAAAAAAAGACATTCCAAATCATTGTGGGCTTCTGTACGGTCTCACGGCACAGGTGTCAAACTCAAGGCCAAGGGGCCGAATCTGGCCCGCCGTAGCTTTTAATGTGGCCCACTGAAGTCCACATTAAGAACCACATGCAAGCCTTCAAAACTAGTATCATTTTATCAATCAAATCGAAGCAGTTTTAATTTCTTTTGTGCCAAATTACATCTACATGAAAAGACGTTTATTACTATTTAATTTTAAGCACTAATCGTCAAATGAAGAGACACTTATTTCCTAATATTTTATGCTTGATAATAGGTACATTATCAACACATCGTGGCACAACCGGCCCTTTGAGAACATCCATGGTCTTCATATGACCTAAATGAAAATTTGTTTGACACCTCTGTGTTAAGGCGCTTTACTGGTTTAATGGGCTTGGTAAACAAAGATTTAGACATTATTACAGCCCACAAATAAAA